TCTTTCCCTCTCTCTACAAGCTCCTTCCCTAATTCAGCACATGAAAAAACTCCAGGTCTAATCCAGCTTTAAAATACTAACCATGTACAAACACAAAACAACACAGATAAAAACCCTTCAATCACCCACTATCTTCTTTACCTACTATCCTCCCTCCATCTTTCCTTAACCGGCACACACAGTTAATCCTAACTGTAGTTACTTCCTTGCCTCCTACATTCAGTACTCCAACCACTGTAATTAGGGTTTTGCCCCCACTTGCTCCAATGAAACTGTCTTCTCTACAGACACTGGTAACGAATGTGGCTACTTCCAATGAATACGTTTGTTAGTCACTGTTATTCTGAACCTTGTAGAAAGTTGATACTGTTCACTATCTCCTCCTTGAAACCTTCTCTTTTCTTTGGTGTCTATCATACTAGTACTTTCCCAGATGGCCTATATCTGACAGCTCCACCTCAGGCTCCTTCCTTTGGTGATCCATTTCCGTCCCTCACTCCGTAAAAGTCTCCTTCCATCTTTTTACTTTCTATATATTTTCCCTGGGTGACTTAATCAATTCCATGGTTCAAAGGATGATTTACCTAATAATCTTCAACTCAGAATTCTCTCTAGAATTCCAGAGCCATATATCTAATTGGATATAACTTGGCCGTCCCACTGGCACCTCAAACACTACATGTCTAAAACTGATCTCATCATCTTTCTGCCAAAATCTTCCTTTCCCTCTATTTGCTTTATCAATGCATGCCATCTCACTCAGCTGCCCAAACCAAAACCCACACTTCCTTCTCACTCACCTAATTAACCAAAAGCAGTTAGTCACCAAGTCCTCTTGATTGTACTTCTCTCAAACCTGTCCTTCCTCTAACCACTTTCTCCTTATTTTATTATCTTTCTAAATGTAACTCTCCGACTTCAATTAGGCCCTTTTCCAATATATCCTCTTCACTATACCAAAGTAATTGTCAAACAAATATTAAATCTTATTAGTCCACTATTTTATTGAAAAACCTCATGATTATCAGGTTAAGGTTCAAATTCCTTTATTTAGCATAAAATATCATTTATGATCTGGCCACTGCCTAGAAGTTAATGGGGACCGACAGTGTCCCAAAGAAGACAATGGCATAAGTGCTTATTGCAATCGCCACTCCTCTCCCACCAACTATATATATCATAGTTATATATATATATCATAGTTAACTATATATATCATATATATATATATGTCTATATATGATATATAGACATATATATCAATTTTTCTTGCAATAATCTTTTCAGAGGCAACAAATAATTTTACTATTCAAGGTCAGGCTTTATTTGATACTAAGATATGTGATCCACTGGGTAGGAGTTAGATATGATTTTATTAAGGTTTCTATCATTAGGCTGCTGTTTTAGTGAAATTTAATAAATTTTTATCCAAGTAGAAAGAAAACCTCCTGTACAGTGGTGGCTACAGAAGCAGACAATTGGACACAGATCTCAAATTCCATCTTAATGCAAGACCAAACAGTTATAAATGTTAGTTCAGAAACTACAAATAAATCTAGTTACTAAAAGTCCCCTGTAAAGAACTATCCAAAAATATTTGCCAATTTATCAATAGGATCACACGCTCTCTGCTTAGCTTAAAATATTTGTAAACATGCCTAATCAAGATTCAGGAAAATTCTGAAATATGAGCCAAAGCAACATGCATTTGCTAGCAATAGTTCACTGTCTTCAGAAATATCATTTTCGGGCATTAGTAAATCTGTAAAGAGCTATATGGGTTGCTGAAACTTTAAATATGTACCTATTTTAAATAAGTTTAATTCACTTTTAAATAAAGGTTTTAAATACTAGTAGAATTTTTTTAAATGCAAAGGACTTGTGATTAAAGAAAGGGCAAGGCTGAGTGAGAAACAGCAGCAAAGCAAACATACATGGCCTGGTGGTGCATGCATTGGTCGCTTCAGGTCATTACGCCCTCTACAGGCTCTGATAACAGTTTTGTGACGATGCAAATGTATTTCAGCTTCCAGCTGGTTCCAAAGCTTATCATGAGCAGGTCCCTTCATATCTCGTCCTAGTAATTGTATTTGTTGGACCCTTCATATTGGGAAAAGAATTCAGTTAGTTTTTCATTATACATACTATAGAAAGAATTCAGAAGAATTACTGAACACAAGTAGTTTTCACATAAATCTAATTCAGTAATAAAACTAATACTCAGGAACCTCCTGATGTGTCTCAGATTTAGAGACATGAAAATTCTGAAAGAGACAGGTGTCTTCAAGGGAAAAATCAGTTTAAAAAAAAAAGAATGATTGAGACCTTCTTTAGTCACATACTTAATTCATATACATCTTAGAAACAATTTATGAGACTAATGTCAATTAGCATGTTTCATGTCTTGCATGCAATCACACTAGTCTTTAGGTGAGGCTAACTGTATAAAACATTTTTTCCAATGACAGTATCTTTTTACAAAATGATTATTTCTTTAAATGTGGTAAAATTATTAGAAAATGTACACTTCAAGATGATATAAATTATTTTTATTTGTTCCACATCAGTCCTTAATATGACATTAGAATAAGCAGAAAATTATTTAGTAATAATAATGAATCACCAAAGTTTGTGAATAATTTACCATAAAAACTTAATGCAAGCAGAACTCTGTATTATTATGATAAAACCACTGTCGTTCCAACATGTTTTTGAGGTGCAAGAAAGACTGGGTTTCAATGATCACAGAAAGAATTCCTACGGAAGTCCTGCTGTACATGGGAACACCATCTGTTATGGTGTCAAGGCAGGAAATGGTAAAAAGTGCAGCTCTAAGAGTTGTTAGCATTTCACAGTAATTTACAAGCAGTGTGTGTGTGTAAACCGGAAATACTTATTTAGTATGGCTAAATAAATCTGCAATATGTAATGCTATCAATATTAAGTTAACAGTAAGCTACAGTCAATGATAAAATCACTCTTAGGACAAAGATTAATATTTCATATACCAAAAGAGATAAGAGTCAACCTCTTTAACTATGCAGTTGGTCACCGAAGAGCACAGGGGTACTCATTTTCCACGCACCTCCCTGCCAGTTCCTTATCCAAGTACTTGGCAGCTAGTCTCGCCCCATAAACTTCAGCCTGGAGAACAGCTATATGTCTACGAAGGGCTTCATTCTCTTTTCTCAGCAACTTCACTTCAGCTTCAAGTTGAGCTTCTTTCATTTTCTCTTTTTTGTTTGCTTCAAGCTCTCTTTCCTATTGCAATTTTTTTTAAAAAAATAATGCAATGAATACACTTTTAAGACTCTTTAGCAATAGACCATGTTCCTTAAAATACACAAAAGCACACAATCTATGATACCAACAATGAAAGCATATGATAAAAATTACCACTTTGTTTCTATAAAATGGAACACAAAGATTTGGATCCAGTTTTTTTTAACTAGTACCAGAAGGTGTTGGAACCACTTCTAGGTAAGATAATAACATGGCTTGGGGCACCTTGATCCTGAGGATACGAAGATTAGTAGCCTTCTCTAAGCTCATGTTATCACACACTAACAGTAATGGCTTCAATGGATAATTATATCTACTCCCTACTTCCTAAAAATGACTCTAAAACTAAACCAAAGTAATCACTCTGGTGGTTGTGCCCAAACACTTAATGAACTTTAATGCAGCAATTCTATAAACAGGTCAAAGCCATTCAGTGATGCATAGATACATTCTATGACCAATTTATCTTACAGCATTATAAGACACTGACAATGCTTAAATTAGAACAGATATTCCAATTCTTTTAAAACATTTTATGGTCATGGAGAAATGCTGGTAACAACTGCATTAAAATATTTACACATTAAAAAATGTCTATACAGAGAAAAGACTTGTGGGAGGGAGGGAGAGGGATGGAATGGGAGTTTGGGGTTAGTAGATGCAAACTATCATGTACAGGATGGATAAACAACAAGGTCCTACTGTAGAGCACAGGGAACTATATCCAATCTCCTGGGATAAACCATAATGGAAAAGAATATAAAAAAAGAAGATATATGTGTGTATAACTGAGTCACTTTGCTGTACAGCAGAAATTAGCACATTATAAATCAACTATACTTCAATTAAAAAAATATGGCTTACGGTAAAAAATATCTATAGCATAGATATCTATAGTATAGTATCTATGTATATATATCTATGGTATATCTATGGTATAGATTATCACTGAACTTTGGGATCTGGATCATCTATTTGTCCATATGTTAAAGTGACTGAAGAACTGTTTTCTGAGGAAAATTACTGGCCTCACTTGCCTACTATGAGGTTGGATGGATATTCATTTTTACTCTCAAAAAAGGATGCCATCCTATGCTCCACTTGGTAAATAACCCATATATATGAATTTACAGGTGTTAGCCAGAGAATATAACTTTAAGATCTTTGCCATCAAATTTTTATCACCAGCTCAAATGTGATAGAAATAATTTTCAATATACCTTCAAAGTGTAAAGTACAGTGTACCTATACATCAAGGGTTACAAATGTAAATACCTTTGGAATTCAAGCACAGAACAGACAGGCAGGTACAAGACAAAGTGGAGGGGAAAACAGAAGGTACAAAATCCTGCCTAAAGGGAGTCAAATTCAAATTCAAACATACACACACACACACACACACACACACACACACACACACACACACACTGTGTGGCAAAATAAAACCCTTCTGAGAGTTGGACAAAAGATCTTTTAAGTGTTATTTTTGGATCAAGAGAACCATCCCAAGTTTGAGTGGAAGTGTTTTTACTGACTTTAGAGAACTGCTTTTACTGACTCACTAATGTACAGAATCTATAAATCCTGTGAAAATACAGTTATATTTATTGATGAGATGTGGATGACACTGCTCACTAACACCATGTCCCCTTCAGGAGATTTAAATAAAGATCTACATCTCAGCACAAGAAGAATGTTTCTCTTCAGTGAATGGCAAATGATATTGTTTCTAATATATGAGTAGTGACTATTATAATTATTTCCCTTTTTATCATGAATATTAAGCTGCGAAACAAATGTAAGCAAACTTTTAACAATTAATGGAATGTATTTAGTAGTAATTTTAATGTCTGCTTTGATCTACTGTTTTGACAACAGCATATCAATATATGACATATTTAAACATCAATATATGATATACTCAAATACAAGGCAGTGAGTACCACAATCGTAAAAACAATAACAAAAAAAAATACAAACTAAAATGAATGACAACTACCAAATGTTGAATATATTTATCACTTCCTTGATTAAAATATCTGTCATTATATATGTGATAAACAAAAGGAAGATTAATTAGCACGCTTTTCCAACTTCTGTAAAAAAAACAAATATAACCATTAGAACACAATTTGTAGATTTAAAAAAAAATTATTTTATTTTATTTTACTTTTTTTGGCTGCACCCCACAGCCTGTGGGATCTCAGTGCCCCAACCAGGGATTGAACCCATGCCCCCTGCACTGGAAGCACGGAGTCATAACCACTGGACCGCCAGGGAAGTCCCTAGATTTTTTTTTTTTTTTTTTTTAATCTGAAGAACTAATCATCTAGAATCCTCTTTTTACAACAACTTTGGAATTCTTAACATCTCAATTTACTTCAGAATCTCTTTCCTAAAAGGGCAGGTATCAGTTCCAAAACCACAGTTTGGACAACATGAACAAAAATCTTTTTTTATGACATTTACTGAGGTTAATGCTGTTTGTTTCATAAAAAGAGTTCCTAGAAGACCAAGAATTTTTAATTTATGGGCTAAATAAATTTTATGTTGAAGATTATCTACTTACACTTTAATGAGCTATTTATATAATATTTATGAAATCTGAGAAACATAAGACACTACTTGGCTTTAATGATTTAAACCCCTAATGAATCTGACAAACTTGCAGACCTGAAATTAACAGATGCAAGCAAGAATAGGACTAAGAACACTGAAGTTAATCACTTTTAGCTTTAGTTTTGTTTTTTTTTCCCCCCGGTACGCGGGCCTCTCACTGTTGTGGCCTCTCCCGCTGCGGAGCACAGGCTCTGGGCACGCAGGCTCAGCGGCCATGGCTCACAGGCCCAGCCGCTCTGCGGCATGTGGGATCTTCTCGGACTGGGACACGAACCTGTGTCCCCTGCATCGGCAGGCGGACTCTCAACCACTGCACCACCAGGGAAGCCCTCACTTTTAGATTTAAAGGAAAAAACCTTTTTGTTTTAGTTAACCTGTTCATCATTAGGTAACAACAAAGAAGTTAATTTTGTATTCCGATATCCAAACAGTATATTTTCAAAAGAAGAAAAGTCATATGACAATTTAGAACCTGATTGGGTTGAAGTACTGGGAAAAATATTAAGAATTTATATGTTGTTATTTTCCAAAATAAATTCTAATAAAGGGTTTCAAAATTCAATTGTTTCAAAGGCCACACAATTATTCTCAAGACTGATGAAAAGTTATAACACATGCAGTGGATAAATAAGAAACCAACATGCACATTCTTTCTCTGGGAATAAATTCAAACAGAAAAGGAGGAAAGAGCTAGGCCTGCATAAGGAAAACCAATTGTTCCTTTGAAGTAGCATATGAGCAAGTTACAAAGCTCAGAAGTTGTCAAACACTGATGGGTTCTGCAAATAATGGCAACAAATCACAAACAAAAGAAAAATCTTTTAACAACACAAGGTGAGAAAAGCAATGGGCTACTCACTGAACTTTTCACGTATTGGCACATTAAAAAATTACCATCATTAATATCACTTTCAAATACATACAAAGTGACAACATGTACTACGCAAATAAAGCACTAAGAACATTTCAGCGTAACATTAAAGCAAAACAGAAATGGCATACTTACCAGCTCCTCCACAGAGGGGACAGACTTAAGATATAAGAAAAAAGTTTTATAATTAGAAAAACATCAAACAAATGAATTTATTTAGTGGTACAATCATTATAAGGAAAATTCCCATATGTTGACTATCACTTGGGTAAAGTTCATTAGAACAAATATATTTGCAAATCCATAAGCAATAGTAACTGCACAGGATTAAAAATGTTTTATCCAAATTAGTTAACACACCTGGTTCAGTGCCTTTTCACTACAGCACCATGTTTCAAATCTAATGTTAAAACGTCAGGTGAATCCTTTTCTAGTGAAATTGTACATTGTTTCTCAATGTTAGTATCAAACATTCCAAAGAAGCAGTTATGAATCTGACTCATTTCAGTTAAATAAAACAACACTAATAATTTATATTTATAGAATTTCAGAATTTAAAAGGACTTGAGGAGAATGTAAATATTCATTTAAATAAATTCTAACATATCCGTATTAGAAACTAACCAATAAAACAGAATTAACTGAAAACGAGTAAAACTTTGAACTGTATTACTCTCATCATCAACATCATTTCATCTTCTGCCTCTCCCAAGCTTTACCTGTCTTCTTTACTGCTGTGTCCCCGATAGTTAACAAAGTGCCTGGTACATAGTACACAATACATATGAGGTTCAACAGAAATAAGACTTTAAAAAAATTCTATTTAAACAACCTACATTGATTAAGAGGGCAATAGTTAATTATGGAACATTTACACAATGAACATTATGCAAACATGACAAAGCACTCAGTGGCAAGGAAAATACTTATATTAAGAGCAAAAGAAAAAATGTGCCACCGGTTGGCACCCCATTCCATTTTCCTCTTCTTCCTTATTAACAGAACTCCAATTTTACTGGAGGTAGTCATGTGACCAACTAAGGGAATGACATGCAGCTAGGGATAGCCAGTGAGATGGCTAAATGATTTGCAAAAAGCTGAGGAGGATTCCGTGAAAAGGTCTTTAAAGAAAACTAATGCAGCTGGGAAGCATCGTTTTGCCCTTAGATCTTCCTTCTTCCTACCTGGAATGCAGATATGAAGAAATCCTGAAAACAGAAACCATGAGCTAAAGATGGCAGAGCAGAACAACAAAAGGAAACTGGATCCCTGATATCTGTGGAGCTGCCATATCAGCTCTGAATGCCTGTCTCAGGGCTTCTTTAACTAGGAGAAAATAATTTGTACTATTTAAGAATAATTCCAATGTTACCTGGCATTTCTGTTACATGTAACTGAACTTAATCTTAACTGATATAGTAGGGCAAAAAAAATGTTTGTATGTTATAATCACAAATATCTTTCAAGTGTATTTATATAGATCTTTTTAAATAGGAAGAAGATCCTATTCTAAGTACCAATTGGTTATTGATGTTATCGCTGATCATCTCCAGGTTATAAGATTGTGGATGATTATGATGACCTTCACATTTCCTGTATTTTCTAAATTTCCCAGGAGCACATATTAACTTTTATAATTAAAAAGCCTCATTAAAGATTGTCCTTTTCACCCTCTAAAACACATATAAATATATGTTACCCTCTAAACTACTTACCAATTTTGCCTTAATGGTACCAGAGTCAACACTTTGACCAGTTTTAGCATGAAGCTGAAGCTGAATAGAGTGCAATTGTAAAAGCTGATCATGTACTTCTTTCTCCAATACAACTTTCTCTGCTTGGGTCTCTGTCAGTTCAGATTTCAGATCCACCAACTGTGCCTTATAAAAACAGCAAACAATAGCAGAAATTAACACAGCGTTGTAAATCAACTATATACCTCAATAAAAAAATTTTTTAAATAAAACAGCTACAATAAAAACATTAAGTATGCTTAATTTTCTTTATTTTGACTCTAATAATTATTATTCAAGAATGACATAGGCTATCTTTGAAATGAATAGATGAACACTAGAAGTCCATTATTAACTGTAAGCTACAGCTAACTGTTACACTGTAGCAGAACAACCCATCAGAGCCACTCAGCCATTCAATCTGAAGCTTTTCATTTTTCACAATTGATATTGTTTTACAACTGCAAACAGGACATATCCCTTGTGTGTGTTTGATCTTCCCAACTAACAAGTGGTAAAGACCAAGGCAAGGCCTTAGTTTTCTACTGAACATAATTTTACTAATAAGCATCTATGGAGCCAACAAGTATGCTGGTTCAATGAGGGGGAAAAAAATTGTGGAGAATACTTTCTAAATTATAGGTGATAATTATTTATGCCCTTGAGAAGCTTCCTTATCAACTGAGGTAATAAATATGCATTCAAACCAACTAAAGAAAAATGTGTGGCAAGTTACAGATATATTTAGAATCGGTCAGGTCCCAAGAAATTCAAAGTAAAGGAAGGTTTAAAGAAGGTTAGTGAGGAAAAGAGAGTTTAGAAGGGCTTTGAAGTTAAATGACAACAAGGACAAATAGCAGTAAAGCAGTCAAGAGATGAGAAGACTAGCAAGGGGAGACAGAGACTAGAAGCAACATAGGTAAATTCTCTGAGTAGAGAAATCAGAGAATTAGAATCTACCTAAATATCCCAACTGCACCAACTAGTGCCTACTACATAAAAGATGCTCAATAAGTATCTTGAAGTTGAAACAAATTCCAATACTAGCCCTCTGATTCCAGATAAATCACTGTGTCCATTCAAGTTTCCCTGATTTTAACATAGGATAGTATCTACTAGGTATAAAATAAATAAGATACAAGGATGTAATATACGGCAACACGGAATATAGATAATATTTTATAACTTTATATGGAGTATAATCTATAAAAATATCAAATCACTCTGTTGTTCATCTGAAATTAATTTAATATTGTAAGTCAACTACACTTCAAATAAGACTTTTTAATAAATAAAATAAAATAGGGATAATACCCATGGCTTTGACTATTTTCATATTATTAATCTTATATATGAAAGCACTTACTAGAATATGAAGATGTTATTAGCAAGGAGATTAGACTACTGAGAGGGGCTGTACATTGACAGACTGCACAAGACTGGATAGGAAAGTGAGGCTAGATACAACAAACGGCTTTGGATGATAAACCAAAACTGAGATTAAATCTGGTAGGAAATCACTATATGCTCTCAATGACATTTTTGTTTTTGTTTTTAATAACAGCTTTATTGAGATATAATTCACATACCATTAAAACTCACTCTTTTAAAGTGTACCGTTCAGTGACTTTTAGTATAATCATAGAATTGGGCAACCATCAACACCATATGACCGTGGAACATTTTCTCTCAATGACATTTTAGCCACGTGATATGTGCAGGTAAGGAGGTGAACACAGGTATACTAGCAACACCCTACATAGCTTTCTATATGGAATACAATTCTGGTGAGTATATATCTAGGAAGGAAACTTCTAGTTTACAGAGTATGAATATGTTAAACCTCAGCAGAAAAGGCCAGTTTTCCAAATGATTGTAGCAACTGACATGCCCACCATATATGAGAACTCTGATCGTTTCACAACCTTGCCTTCATTTGGTATTGTGAGTCTTTTTAATTTTAGCCATTCTGGTAGGAATGTAGTGGCATTTCATTGTGGTTTTACTGAAAACTTCTTGATTACTAATAAGGTTGTCCTTTATTGGGTATGAGTTACAACTGCTTTCTTCCATTCCGTGGCTTGTCTTTTAACTTTCTGAAAGGTGCCTTTTGATGAACAGTGCAGTGCTTAACTTCAATGTAGCTCAATATGTCAGTAGTTTCCTCCCCCACATTAAATGCTTTTTGACCTGAATTCTACCTTATCTGTTATCAAGTTTGCAACTCCTACTTTCATTTTATTTGCATTTACCTGGTATAATTTTGTCTATTTTAACCTTTCATCATATTTTTCATTTTATAGTTGTAAATAGCACATACACATGTAAGGTCTTAAATGCTCATTGCTACATTTTAAAATATATATATATTTTTAGTATTCTGGAAGCTCTGTAACTTTGTTTTAATAATTACTTTTGGATAATATCCTTAATTTCCTCTTTAGATTATATTTAAGATAACATCCTTGCTATGAACAGTCACGAAACTATTAGCATTTTCTTCCCCCTTTTCTTACTCTTCTCCAGCATCTTAATAAAGCGTTATCTTGCTATTTCAGCTAATAACTATGAGCAATCATCAAGCTTATACTACTTTCAAGATACTCTTTTCTCCCATTTTCGGTAGTTGCACTATATTTATAATGCAGAGCATACAATATGTAATGTTTAAATATTTTCTCATCCTTAACACTGATAGTCTTAGTTCCACTATTAAATAAATTCTATACTGACCACTTGACCTTTTACCAGAGCTGCTCCTATGAATTCAACTCATTCTCTAGCCTTGTAGATTTCTCAGAAAGCTCTCATAACAGTATTCTCTGATTTCTGGCATGTTCGTAACTATTTATTTGTGGTCTTTATATCTGAAGTCAGTTTGGCTGCATATAAAATCTTTGGCTCATATTTTCTTTCCTTGAGTATTTTAAATATGTTGCTCCTTTGGCTTCTGGTATGAAACGCTTCTATTCAAATGTCCAAAATCCTAATCTTTTCTTTCTCTTATAAGTGACTTGATCTTGTGTCTGCTTTATTTTTAGTCCCATATTTTACTAAAATGTAGCATGGTGTTAATCATTCTAGGTCCATGTGTACTCTTCTCAACATGCAGATTCAATGCTCTGTTATAGTTTTTAAGAGTGAATTGGTTGGTAATTTGTTTTTTATTGAGGCAAAATTCATATCACATTAAATTAACCATTTCAAGTGAACAATTCAGTGGCATTTATTATAATCACAATGTTGTGCAGTCACCATCTGTATCTAGTTCCAAAACATTTTCCTCACGCCCAAAGAAAGCCTCGTACCTGTTAAGCAGTCACTCCCCACTCTCTCTGTCCCCAGCTTCTGGAAACCACCAATCCACATTTTGTCTCTATGGATTTAACTATTCCAGATATTTCATATAAATGGAAGCATTCAATATGTGACCTTTTGTGTCTGCCTTCTTTCACTCGGCATGTTTTCAAGGTTTATCCATGTTATAGCATGTATCAGTACTTCTTCACTCCTATTTAGAGCTGAATAATATATTTAACTATAAAAATTCAGCTATAATATATTCAGCTATATAGTCCACTGTATGTACATAACACACTTGTTTATCCATTCGTCAGTTGATGAACATTGGGCTATTTCCACCTTTTGGCAATTATGTTCAGTGCTGCTATGAACATATGTGTACATATGTTTGTGTATGTGTGTTCAATTCTTTTGGGTATATACCTAGGAGTGGAATTGCTGAGTCATATGATAATTCTATGTTTAACTTTTTAAGGAACCATCAAACTGTTTTCCACAGTGGCTGAACCATTTTACATTCCTACCAGCAATAAATGAGAGTTTGTTGATAGAAGTTTTAAATATTGGTTTTGTTTCATGCTTCTTCAGGGACTCCAATTATACTAATATTAATTATTCTTTCCC